GAGCAAGGTTGTATTTTTTTTTTCTTCACTGATTCTGTGCTGTTTGAAGCCACCATGTGTTCCTTTAATTTTAGAAAAGTAACTATATTCTTAATACCACCAAATGAAAAAGCTGTACCAGAATAAAGTTAAACAAAATTAGCATTCAGAACATGTATTTTCGGTACATGTATTCAATTACTTCACATAATCCACATAGCATAGCACTGCCCACATGAATGGTATCTTAGTAATACATCTCTGCTTCCTGGAACATGGTCAAATGAGCTGTGTGAGTCAAAATAAAGAAATATATTGTTAGAATAGTTCATTTTACTCAACATAATTAAGTAGAATTCATTCTTTCTAAATTATGACATGTTATAATGCTGTTACCTCATCAAAAACATACCTGTAGTTGTGTTTTGTTTCATTCACACATGTTTGAGTAACACTTTATTATCTGTCTGTCTACATCTCCAAAGCTCAAAATGCTCTGTTCCCCCTTGTGATGTCATGTAGTGATAGTTTAAGTTAATAGCTACCTTTTAGATTTAACTTTTATCAGCAGAGATTGTCAATTCCAGGCCCAAAATTATCTTATCGATTCTAGTGAAGTTGTAAGGAGTTTAAAACACATTAGAGCACTTCCTGTTTTGCCACATGACATCACAAGTTGGAACGGAGTGTTTTCTAGTTGAGAGAAGTTAAACATGTGTGAATGAAACAAAACAAAGCTCCAGGCTATGTTTTTGATAAGGCAACATTATAATGTAGATCAAAAAAACTGCATAAAATGGGTGCTTTAATTGTATTCATCACTAATCCAAAGTGAAAAAACATGAATAGCTGTATGTAAAAAAATAAATGTTGACTTTATTCAGATTTAACATATCTGTTTTCACTTTAAATATTATTATGTTCCACGAAAGTATATAATTAAAGTGCATTAAATAAAAAAATAACATGAAAACAAAATACAAAAAATACAATAAAAGTTTTATTTATTTTTTTTATGTTTATGTCAATTTCAGCTGCTGATTGGTTGATTCAAATTCACTGTCACCGTGCAATCTAGTTCACCATGCCTTGTTTTACTTCAGGGACCCTTTTACAAATGTACATCACAAATGTATTTAAATAGTGCAGACGTTAAAAATCATGATTGCTTCACACAGTATACTGCAAAATGGGATCTCTCTGGAGTTGAATAATGTATGTAAATGTATATAAAATGAAGTGACAAACTGTAAAAGTGCTTAAACAACATGGATAACGTTCGTTCACTGTTAACAGCAGGGGCGGACTGGCAATCTGTACGCTCTGAATGTCCGATCGTGGGCCCCCCCTTTTTTTCCATGAGCTGATTTGTGGTGAAAAGTCCAGGGCCGTTTTCTGGTCTCGGTCCACCCCTGGTTAACTGCACAACAAATTTTCATCTAAATCAACTAAATAATTCTCTTCATATAACATTTACCCAACACGATAAGAATTTAGAGTTAGATTTACTTAGAAAAATTGGTTTTCTTGGAATAGGTAAAAATTTTATGTAGGCCTAGTAATAAATTAATCTGAAAGGTTTTTAGACATGTAAGGATTTCTACTTTCTTAACTAATATTTAGAAGAAAAAAAATTAAATAAAAGGTGGTACTGGCTTCATCTAATCAGTTCAACATACAACTCGACATACATTTCCGCAAACACGTCACAAGAATTTTCCGTATAGCTCTACGTAAACATCCAAGAGCACAACATCAAACATCAACATGGAGGACATCCCAAGTAAACAGGGGTGCATTGCCATGGCAACCCCCAGGGAACTCACCTTGAAGCACCACGACCAGGACCAGGCAGGGAATCAGCCGCCTCCCTCCTTCTCCAACCCGCATCCTTAAAGAGAGGAGAGAGAAAGACAGACACAAACACACCAAACTCCGCGGAGGTTCTCAAGCTGTGGGTGTGGTCCGTATTGGGCCCTCCTCCTCTTCCTTTCCTCTTCTTCTTTCCTTCCTTCCTTCTTCTTTTAGTTCTTCACCTGGCGAGCTTCTCAGACTCTAAAGCAAAGCGTGTGGGCTCCTTGCGCGGTAGTGTCCAGTTACCAATCTCTCCACAGGTTCGGGTTTCGTCCCTTGTTCCAAATAGGGCTTTTGTTCAACTATTTATACAGCGTGGTAGGCCAAAGCAAGCTTGGGCTATTTCAATGTTCACTGAGAGTAATTACCAGAATATAATAGGTGATTGTGGGGAAGACTGGTGATGTATAGCTTCGGCTGGATGTTCAATGGAAGACCAAGTTTGTTTAGGAAGTTTTAAATAATATTTGCTTGGGTGTCAGTTCACCTGAGCTGTTCAAATTGGACCAGCTGTCTTTTTTTATTCAACCACAGTGAGACAATGTAATGGTATGGAAGAAGCTTCTTTGGTATTGAAGATATGGGTTATTTTTATTGCTTCATGTTATTGCTTTGCGTTATGTGTCGTAGATATATCTTTATTTTTATTGTTTTATTTAAAGATTCT